GTTGCTCGTTTAATGGGAAACAATGAAAAATACCCTGCCACTATTTGCCCAAGCACAAAACTATCACAGCCAAATCCCTCTTCTGGGCAGAGAAATTTTTGGATATATATATATATATATATATTCTATTGTGGAAATATTACAGATTATACCAGTAGTAAACGCTGCCTTATAACTGAACTTTCAGCTGCCTACTGATTATAAATGTATTCTATCGAAGTAGGGGCAATTTCATGACCATAGTGTTTCATGTCGCAAACTGACAACAACAACAATCTAACAGCGTAGCGCGAATATACTGGCTTTTTTGCCATAACGAGCCCATATTACTGAAGGTGACGTCATTTCCGGTCGAGAGTGGATTGCTCAATTTAATGTGGTGTCATCCAAACGATGGAGACATTATGATCTGGCAAGATAAAATTGATGGTCGACTATTGAAGCAGACCAGTGTTGGATCATGTATTGTTCAGCGAACATCTGAAACATAAATTTAGATATGCTAAACCAAACCCATTAAGATGTTATTCCATCTCCTCGGTCGCGTCACTGCCACAGTGGGGGTCATATAAGGACCGACTTAATAAATCACCATTGTTGCCGACAGGTGGTTGAAGCATAGTCACCATGAATGAAATTTCAGCACAAAGTGAACCCATAGACCGTTTTACTTTATCGTTTCTGATGTGTTCGATTCATCCTTGCGGGCGGCTGAGAGTAGGATGTTTGATGTCTGGTAAATTTAATGATTTGTGCATGACTCGAAAAGTCTGCGCCTGCCGACCGTGGTCACAGGTGGGGCATTGGATATCTGTAGTATTTTGCAAGCGAGAGAAACCCCACAAATCACGTTTATAACGTATTTATAGAACTCCAGCAACAGGCAGACCCTCCCCTGGCACAAGTGACAGTTCGCATTTTGAAAATTTTCCGTCCCTAAAGTGGCCACTGCAGAGTGACACATAAGCAAACGGTAGAAGCAGTATTCGGGAGTCAGACACACCAACAACACAGGGATTGTAGTCATAAAGAGCATTTAATTGGACAGTGAGCACAGCTCAATGGAAAGGTCTTAGTAGATTTCTATGGGACGTCAAATGAACCCGCGCAACCATGCTGACGTAAAAGAAAACTACGAACAAGCGCTTCTAACCTGTTTGCGGCCAATTAGGGACAGGCTGAAACGTAGGTTTCCAAGGTCCGCATACCATCTACTAAATGCTCCACAAAAGTAAAGTGTAACAGTGTGGCAAATTCGATAATTACTCCATGAATAGCACAATATCAACCAAAGCAAAACTAAACTGTGGCATCCAGCACTTAGTGATTATTTTACATGGCTAAAACCTAGGTGGACAAATATGGTTGTAGATGAGTGGACACCATGTGACTTAAATTCTTCGTGAAAATACCTGCATTCTTTGAAGTGTTCACCACCGGTGAGGATTTCTTATTAAGCAATCTCATGAACTGTGGATAAGTGGAGTTTTGAAGTATCAGCACCCTGCATTGTTAGCAAGGTTTAAGTGGACTTAAAAAGATCTGACACCGGCAACAGCGCTCAAAATCCCAAAGGGATATTGAGAAAAAGCCAATGCATTCTGCCCGACAGCGTAGTTATTACGACATTTATTTCTACAACGAATCGAGCTCGAGATGCACCAGCTTAACAGATTCCAACAGGTTCCTCAAAAAAGTTTTGCGTGTATGGTCAAACACTCCTGTGAAATTTAGGGTCCAATTGACGGGATCTGAAACAACAGATGGAGGGGAGTGTAACCGAGTCACATGTTTGCGCAGCACTAACTGGTAGATTCCGCTTCGCCATATAAGACTGGTGAAGCTTTGTGCAGCGGCCCGTTTTTGAGCGTCAGGAAGCGGAAGACCAGTTCAAAGAGCCATCCAAGCACCTTAGATTTGGTGCTCGATTGTTGAGCAGGTGAAGAGTAGTGCATTTTTCAAGCTTGTGAATTTTTCGTTGGTAGTCGAGACAAAACCGCCACCCATCCGCGCGCTGATGATGTCTCATTGACTGGTGACAGAACGCCTGCAAGCCAGTTCTCAGGATCGACTAACTATCAGCAAACACGTGATCAAAAACAAGCTGCCAGAATTTTGACAAACCACCTGAAAACAGTATCATGCCACGTAAAATTTATGTACTTGCGTATATCAGATACAAAGCCGGGAGAAAAAATTGGCCTCTGGAAAAGAGTTCTAAAGTTCAAAGCTGACGTTATTCGCAATCGGGAATTCCCACCCATAAACAACATGCTATAAACTGTATTCAAAGAGTGTGCAGACTCCTGAGCATCCGCTGTCCTAACCTGTTTCCCCGGCGAAATCGGTGCCGAATAACTTAATTCTGATTTGTTTCAGAAAATTTCGCTTGATAACACCTATACTGCTTTTTTTCTGAATTTCAACAGTCTCCTTTCTTAGTTTCTAAGGGCTGCTTTTGGCCTTATACTACTGATAACTACAAGTAACAAACAACCACATTCCCTTGCTTAAACTTTTGACGCTGCTGATTTTCTTGAGGTTAATAATCACTTTATCATGATTAAGATGATTTGGATTGTACACTCCACGTTTATCGCTACTACTGACACCACAGTCTCCACATGACAGCATCGCCACTTGCCATCGGTGGACGAGAAGTGCAAGATAGCCTACAAACGAGCGTCAAGAGCGTGCAAATTAATAGTCCAATTCATTATGATTAATAATAGTATAGGTAGACCAGCGTCTATTTTGTGTGACAACAACATGATATGAGTATATAGGCGTCATAAACACGTTTTTCTGATCCCATAAGGGTAGATTATAACGATACAATGCTTCGTTTTTAGATATTTGGGGTGTCCGATCTGTTGCAGCACACTGCTTGTATGACATTCCCGCTTAAAGAGGCCCATTCAGACCAGCTTTGCCTTATGATGGTTGGTCATATACGTACTGTGCGAATCGTGTTTTGCGCCTTCATGAATATGTACATCTCAAGATGATGATAGCAGTGCACGGTGGACTAGTATCCAAGGCTGCTCATCGTCCTCATATCTGTACCTGAAGCAATTTTATGCATCAGTCCATGATATGATAATTAGATGCAACAAAGAGCAAACATTATGAGGAACAGATCAGTGATGATAGTTTTGCCGCGGATAGGGGACTGCATTTGGGAATACGCAGATTCTTGGTCACTGTATGGGGGCTATATAATTGATTTTCTAATCCTTTGGTTTTCTGTTGAAGTCCAGTACTAAGTGGTATAATTAGGTCCATTTATTCTGAAGAGGAAGGACACTGAATCAACTACAGTCCTCATAAGCGGATGAAGTCGGGATTATTCAATCAAAAAAGACCGTCGACTTTCCAGACAAACAAACCAAACAGACTGTGGTACGTGTTTCTTTAGAACTCACATTTACAAAACATTATCAGGTGAATGCTACTACGAACTAATATTTCCCAGAAGTTTACTCATTATGTTTCCGAGATTGTCGATCATATCTAAATTAGATTTCCATTGCTCAGGTAGTCAGGACTCAACAACCATAGGTTTAGCCAAAGATAAAGATTACAGATCAACAAGAAAACGTTTTCGCTGAGGTGAATCAAACCAGACATCCACTTAATCTGACTACGAGCAAGGAGGAAGTAAAACTGGTTTTCATTGATAGCGAGATATCTATTGAGGACAGAACAAACTTGTTGCTCATACTTTACAAATACTAAACACTGCTAATATCACACATCCCATCTTTCTCTTAAACGATGCAGTTCTGACGTAAGTCAAGACGTTTTTGTGTCTATGTGTGTTTCTTGTCAATTTTATTCTTGCCCCCTACCTCAACATCATTATTCTCGTATGTTGATTCAGCATTTCCTGCTGTCTATGCAGCCTTTGCCAATGACTGAAAATGGCTATCTGATTTCCGCTCTACTTTGTACTTAATGCCACAATATTTATACCCTGTCATAACTACGCGGTGCTTGTTTCATTGAAATGAAACAGTGTTCTTTCATCTAACCCCTATCACGTCGCTTACCACATCGATCACCATATTCATTCCCCGTTGCAGTCGGAAGAGTCTGAGGAGGTGGGATATTCAATAACCGCGAACCATCAGAATCTGTGCGATTTTTCTTGTTTGCATGCAGACGTAGTGCATTTGGCAATTCACCCCTTTTCTGCAGAATGTTTGCACACTTTAGCTTAGCTTGGGTGTTGACCACATTTAAACAACATAAACGGTGCGGCATGCCTGGGACTGTTATCTGTGTTGTAAATTCGATGTAGCACGCGCATGTCTTTAGCCACTGTTCTTCCAACTGTCGAACAGTCAACTAAACCACAAACTGGTGAACGTCGAAATAAGAGTGAGGCACCCAGGTGCACACATGTGGCAATATTTACGGAGATTATTAAACTGCCGTTTTCATGATACGCATAGTAAAGTGTGGACTGCAAGTATTTGACTTTTCAAGGTAGTGAGACTTTGAAGTTACAGTGGAGATTTCACCTTAAAGGTGAATTCAATCTACGCCAGAAAATCAGGCAATCATACCTCGTGGGATTTGTGTTAACACTTGTCAGCCACTGACGACTGAACTGCTCGGCTCGACCTTCCTACACACATGAACTTCAAGTGCAAGATGTTATCTCCACTGAAACATCAAAAATCCTCTGTTTAACTATGAACTATAGGTGATATATACACAGATTAGTTAGCACCTTTTAAAGTGTAGTGGGCTTCATTCAGAGAAATCCTCACCAATCGGATCTATGAGCACCGGGGCATGTATTGGTGTCAATGTTTCACTGACGGTCGGCAACTCATGGTCAGATTATGTGGGTCCAAACGAATAGCCTACATTATTGATCGAAATGGGAACTGGGGCAAAATGGTTTACTCAGAAAGTCTAGATCCGAATAGTGCAATCCATTAACTGATATTTTGCCGGTTCTTGTATTTGCCTTCAATGAAACCAATAGCGGTTAATTCGCTTCACCGTGCTTTTCCTACACGAGCTGCACATGTGAAGGACATGATATGAATACCAAACTGGTGTAAAAGAATTATTGGAAACAAGTAAGACGACTCCAGCTTTTGTGTCAGCGTGGCCATGAGACTGGATAGGCTTTCATTGCTTAGTGTATGTGGAGAGCTCACCCGGTGTGGATAGTACACAATACAGTAGGTTCTTACCTTGTTAGCAGAGATGACCACTGTTCATTGCATTCAAAATCGGCCAGGGAAAAGCATTTCAGAAGAGATGCTTGAAGAGAATGAGTGATAACAGCGAACATAATGCATCTAAACATATGTTCAGAAAGATATCATACAAGCGCCAATGGGCCTGATGATAAATTCCGCAAGATAAAAACCAGTTCATCTAAACTCCTCGATTGGAGAAGATATACCGGCAAACTCATTAAGCGACCGAGCATGCAAACACTGAGTAGAAGCCCCCCTGAGAGTCCACGCATAACGTCCTTTGAAACAAACATATCTGACGCCAGTCTTCTTGTTGTGCGATGTTGGATGCACGACAAGCCAGGGAATAAGTGAGAACTACTAAGTTTGGTTGAATTGTGGGTCATTATCACCGACAACCAAATAGGCAAAGCCTTCATATTTCAAGACCTAAATATAACACCGGATCACCCCTTGCCAAGCTAATGCTACTTTACATTTATGCAAAAGTCTGGATAAAAACTAAAAAATGTCGCAAGTGCTTGCTTCACTGATAAACCGAAGTAATTAGACACGAAGTAATCTGAAGTCTACTATTCCTATAAGCGAACACGCAGGCGGCAGGTACGTCTGCTATGATCTTAACACACATTTAGTGTATCAGGTCAACTTACTGGTAGCCACGGTCGGCCAGCCTTAAGCGCCATCTAGTTATTCCAGGTGTATTTTTATTTAGGTGCAAAATGTTATATCCTTATGATATCTTTGGCTCAAAAGTTTTCTTCTCGAAAGAAGACTTCCATTTTATTTGACACCACCTTGATCTGTGGGCATTAGCTGCATGTGTGTGCCGGTAAACAAGCATTTATGGCAAATTATAATCGCCTAAACACAAATATACATACATATACATATATATAGTTATATACCCTTGCGCATATATTGGTGTGTGCTTGAAATATTTCGTTCTGCACTCTTGAACTACCTATTCTACCTGAAGCTGTAACTGGTTGGCACAATTTTACAAATATAAATTGACCATTCCACACTAATCAGTACCTCTTCAGCAGGTCGAACACGGGGAAGATGAAAAGGAAGAAACTAAGGCTGAAGAGCCTGTGGTGAGGTGTAGATCCAGAATGTCATCACAGCATTCTTCTGGTGTACCTCACACATATAATATTTGCTTCCATTTTGTTTCAACTGATTCACCATGTATTATCAATTCCAACCATTGCACGCATAGACATGTTCGACAAACCGACAGTTTGGGAACTACTGATTAAACAGCAGATATTTCGTCGGCGATTGATCACGTGGCTGCCGATCTGTTTGACGAGCTTAGCAACTGACTTGCAGGTGTTTTGTCACCCTTCGAGAAGATATCATCACTGCGTGGCCCCCCTCGGATACTGAAATGTCTGCAAGTCCATTGCCAAGCTGTGTGAACGGATCAACAGCGATATGATCAACTACCAATGAATGCACCCTAGGTACCAATATTCCAACACATCAGAGGTTTTTGTATCGACATTTCCCCTAATCACCTTGAACAGAATAGTCATCTTTCAAAGTCAACAAATTATTGATTGATTATTGTTTGCCTGCATGTTATGCATGATTGTTGTGTTCCTACTTTATGTTGACTCATGTGGATTATAATACGAGCGCAATAACACCACTTCCTTTTATTCATTTGATTGGTGATAGGAATCCGAGCGAGAGCGACGTGACCGGGTAAGTGAACTTTCTCTTTGTTCTTCGTCAAGGTAGGATTTCTATTAATTTTTGAGCTACTGACATGTAGGCACGAAATTCAGTGCTGCTTTTCACTAAACCTATTAACCAGTGTTTGAGGCAAGTTCGCACAACTTGTCTGTCATCTTTAAGAATGGCAGCATTTGTAAGAACAAAAATACCTGAAAGTAGCTCCGTAGATAATATGACAGAGTGAACATCATGTCAGTCCTGTTCCACAATCCTAGTTGATCGGACGACTGTTGACACACCAACCGAGCTTGGCACTTCACTTGCCAAATCATTTGCAAAACTTTCCGAATAGATCAACTGCCTATAAGTGCATCCCAGCTACCAATATACTAACACGTCATCGGACCATGTCAAAATTGAACACAATTACATGTTTGTACACAGCTATTTCCATAGAAGAAAATGTTGGTAGCTCTAACCACCAACCCATCTCCATGCACCACTACGCTCCTCAATAACTCACTGATGATGTCGCCTCAATTGGTGACGAAACGTCCACAGTCAAACTGCCCAGCGAGCAAGCCAACGACCAACAGATCTTATGTATTCTGGTCTAAGAAACCATATTTTACTGTTTGGAGCAACGGCCGGTAATTTTAATCTATCACTCATTCCGGTCAGACTAAATGTTATTAGTTTGAGATAGGTTTTTATCGTCAGACACTCATGGCGAGGTTTTACCGCGGACTTTGGGTGAAAGGAACTCCTCAAGACAGAGGAGCTCGAAGAATAGATTATCGAGGGTGATAAGATATAAGGATAACACTCTTATTCGTGGGGTGAATTGTATAAAGTTGTTGTAATAAAAACTGGTGAACCAGCTGGTTTTCAGCCCCTCCGTTTGCCAAAGATTTGGTGACGAAAATGTGCGTAGTAACTGGTTGACAACACAATGCATTGCCTAAATAATGTTTTTACTGTACATTTGTTTTACACAAGCAAGATGACATTGTGTGAGAGTAGCCTTGATTGATTTAGTGCTATGGAATTCGTGGTTGGATGTAACTGACACAGCTTTTTTATTTCGCTCTCGAACTGTTTAAAAGGGAAATTCATCAATATAATCCCAAGATCATCGGGTGATCAACATTTTTGGTTTATATTTAGTCAGTATTGATGAGTTATACGGTTTTTTATCATCAATTCCGTATCTTTGCAAAATGAATCCAACCAGGAAGCGAGGCACGTCTTTTTCGAATGGTTACAGTAACTACTAAGACCTCAAATGTTCTAGAAGAAGGATCATCCTTCTGGGGTCGAACAAGCTTTCTTAGATATCAGTCAGTGTAATTGCAGACTAGAAACTGACTAGTTTAGGAGCGAAACTTAAATCCAAACTTTCAACAAAAGCGAACAAAGTGAGTGAGAATAAGCACAAGTTTGGTGGCCGGGTACCAACCTAAAATCTACTTGTTGAGCCAGAGATCGCTTTAAGCCACAGAGTTCGGGTAACGAATTTTTTGGAAAAAGGAGTTCCGACCCGTGACTTCCCAAATAGTTATACTTCAGTGGGATGGTTTCAACACTGGTATTCTCTTTGAGTGGGAAATACATGTACTGTCTCCAGAACCACGGCGGGTGAGGTCAGCACTTCGTCCTTAAAGGAAGCTAACAATAAATCCAGTCTAGCCTAGACGGGCAGAGACACTCAGATGTATGTTCGTGCACGCTATTCTATGCACTCAGCCTGGCAATACGGAACTGGAGACGACCTCTCTCACAACCCAGTAGTCTAGGGAAATTCATATGTCACAGAACATATTGAACATTGTGTATTTTATCACGTTCCATCCTGTACCCGGGTACATTTCACAGTCGGACAGCGAGGAGGAGGAAAGACGTGCAGAGGTAACAATGTTGTTGTCGTTACGTTTGTCCTGTTTGTAGCTTGTCCGTGTGTTCCGACCCTTTTGTTTTCGTAGCACTGTGATGTCAACAGAAACAATGTATATCCTTACTGTGCCTGCTTTGTGTTCTTTCTGTTTATTCGTGTTGCACTTTCGCTTTTCGGTTTGACTCTCACGAGGCTATTGGAAAACCGATAGTAGATCAATAAATAGATGTGAATTGTCATTTACACTGACATTAAATGTGAGTAGCACGATGGGAGACAAGTGTTCAAAAGCCGACTAAAAAATGAAAATAAAGTCAATTTATTGAATAAAGAGCAATATATTTCACTTATTTTTACAGGGGTTTAGAGAAACAACGATTCCGGTTGACCATTCGGTCGAACTTGTTAAAAGTCACGCAACAGTACGCAACCAACAAACAAATCCGTTGTTTCCTCACAACTATCTCTTATCTTTCGCTAAACATACTGTTATATCACCTGAATAAAGTTAGGTTTCACCTGGCCTATTCCACTGGGTAATCGTTTGACTGTAAAACCTTTTAGGCGCCTAGATACCGTGTCACCCCAAGGAAGCACGAGGGATGAGATAGGAGAAGATTGCCTAAGCCTGGACAGGAGTAGTCGAGACGTTGTGGTTTGTTTCGAACTACGGGAATTCCAGCAACTAATTTTGTGCCCTATCCACTGAATCATCTAGGCCTACGTTTCTAAGCTCCACACAGCAAACTTCTAATAAAGCGTGAGTGTATCAGTTAGTTCAGCGAGTTCCCGAATCCGTATCGCCAAATTTTCGCTCGTTGTTTCTCCTTCTAACGATTTCCGTATTTATTTATACTCCCGTGTGTTTGAATTCATGTCCTATGTATCTACAGCACAAACCGTCCCTCCTCTGTCATAAGGCGCTTTAAACAATCTCCTTTGTAGCTAGTGATCACGCCACGCATGTTTTTGTTAGACTGATCTCAGTGTTTCGTCTTTTCGTGAAGTCTGTTGAAGGCCACTATCTTGACCTCATGATCAGCCGATAGTTTGATTTTTGAATACTCATCATATGGACCTGTTTTACTCTCTGCTGCACTGAGCTTATGTTCGTTGGGACACCACCAGGATCTTTTGCTGAATTCAGTCCTTGTAGTTAGATCTTTTCGGTGCGCGTTGCGTCATTTCACAGCTTCATGAGCCTTTCAGGTTTGTCAAGGGAAAGTGTTACATTCAAGAATCAAATCAGATGACCCACGACATGCGGCTGTTTAATGCATGCTCCTCAGAATAATAGCTTTTTACTTTTCTGTAGGTGCCCAGGTGGCCGAAACTGCCTATTTCTAGCAGGAAGCTTCATAGAGGGCATTCAGGGAACAACCCAAGATTAGTAAAAAACGAACCAAATCTGTTGTATCATTTCTACCTAGAGTAATTTGCGTTCATATCAGGGAGATCATTCAGAATCACTGCATCAGCTGAAGTATGAAACACCCACAAACGAATATTATAATGCTGTGAAATTATAGTTCAAAATCAAATCGCTGGCCAAAATGCACATGCGAGTTTCTCTTATAGATGGCTTTTTAGATATAATATACATGCCATATATACTATGCTGTACAATACCGTAGTATACTTACAACACTATATTATACTATACTATCCCATATTATATGTAGCACAATATGTATGACATATACTATGCATTATAGCCGCTAAGTTTCACAGAATTCGATTCACACTCGCAAGCTTTTTAGGAATTTTGACGAGGTTTCAGTTGTTTAACTTTCGATGTTCGTGTCGCTTTTCATAGTTTTCTGCCCAATTTAAGTCGTCCTACCTCCTGCTCCCTTATACGATGTCCCATAGTGCATGTGACAGCAGAGTAAATTTTCATTCGCTACTGTTCAACAAGTGTCATTTTTTTGGTTTATTGTGCTTCGTTCTTCTACTTAACCTATCCGACCAGGAGCCTAACCAAGAGGAGAACCAAGAGGTATCTCTGTCATCTCTATGGAATCATATGTGGTCTACCATATCCTCTCGGTGTTCGTTTTTTTTTAACTCACAACGCATTTGCTACATCAAACCATACTTAATTGTTTGTCTGTCGGTTTGGATTTCTATGACACATTTTTATATTCTCAGTGTGAGCCCATATTTGTGTATCTACTTTCTATTTGTATCCGAATATCTCCTCGCCACACTGGCAACACACTGAGTCCAATCAGGTAGGCAAATCCAAGTCGTCATTGTATAGAACACATACTAGCATCCCATAGTTAATATCCGTAGCCTAGCAATTAAAAATTAATGCCACCTCTTTCCAACTCGAGAATGATAGTAGCCCTTGCGAATGGCGGCGAGTTAAGGTTGCCATCATAATTGCAAAGCATCGATCGGTTGTTCGTTTCACCAGGTCTTCGTAGGCACGTATGCTGAGGTTTTGTCATGAAGTGTCTTCGGTGGCGTATGTTCAGAGCCGCAAAAGTGCACTGCCCCCAGTTTTCATGCCCCATTGCTGTTATCATGTTGGCTTTACCTGCTGCTGTTACCCCTTCCACTTGTTGCTTATGAGCAGTTCCTATCCTGTTACAGATGTCCTGAGTGGCCCACTCACACGGAACTGGACTGGTTTCACTCCTTTTAGACTCCATTGGTCATACATGACTGCAGTCATGACTGAAGTAGGATGGGTGCAACTCAATAACGGGCATGTACTTAATTGGAAACTGTGCTCGACTAACCCGATGGCTTGGATGACAGCTCAGAGACTATCCTGGTTGTGCCTACCAACGGCTAACTTGTCTGCACCTGTCGGCTAGGTAGTAACAAGGATGCTCCTAAGCTGAAGAATATCGCTCGAGCATGAATGTATTCGTCTACGCAGGCGTGTTAAGTGTACAACATGAAATGCTTCTAGATCCGTGGCCTCCCACAGTTGTCTGAACCACGAGCAACCAAGACGTATTGGAGAATCTTGGGCATAATACGCTGTTGATTAGTCTGAAAGAATAGAGCGATTCCGTTATTATGATATAATCTGACGCCTTATTAGCAAAGCGAGGCATTTATATGGGATGTTTAACAGACAGCCATTCACCAAGACAAGGAGAACAAATTAGATTGGATCGCTTAATTCGGTACCATGGATAACCAAAGTTGGTCAGTAGGTCAGCTGCACCTGCATCCTCAGCCAATTTGGTGACACGGAAAGGGAGGGTTACATGCTTTGCGTAGCGGCTCCGTATCCCAATGGGATAGAGTGGCTGCTGGTTTTGGCCAGATGGCCTAACATGCTTCCCGTCGTTGCGAGTGATACTGGGTGGTATTGAAGGCGAGAGCTAAGTTAAGATAAAACATTAATTTGGCTTGAAGGACACGCTTGCTTGCAAATTAATTTATTGGTGACGAAATCTCCAGGTAAATTATAGCTGGATCCCCCGCTCACGATATTCTTCAACTGAATGTGTTGCATTAAAACCGCCTTATGTTTCATTTGACACAATAGGTGAGGTATGGTAGAGTTTCCTTTTAATAAGGTACTATTCATTAATTTTCCGAAAATGATCCGACAGCTGACAACCTGCCTTGCTCTTTTGGTGTTCATTAGATAGACCAAGTCCCCGGTTTTCCTTAAACCTTATGTTCCAATTGACCTTATCCCGCCTCACCGGCCATTGCGTTTCTCTACCCTGCGATGAACTGACTGCTGATATCAATTAGTCCAAAGTACCGTATTTGCCTATTGCACCATATACTACTGTTGATCACTAAGTGCTTGGCACAACAGACAGTAAACTGTTTAGACAGAAACCGTTCTCACAAAACCCGTGAATATCTGGTATTAAAATTAATGAATGATTTTGTGATTTGGCTTCGACATAGTCGAATAGTTTTGTAAAGACTGCACTCGTCCTTCCCTGATTTACAAAACAACTGCATAAATGAGGGAAAACAGAACTAGTGTTAGCGTTCAGAAGCGGAATGTTTAACGGTTTTCGATGGGAAGAGAAACGGAACTTTGATGTTTTCTGTTTAGTTGTGGTGTGATGTTTGATGCTAAATATCGCTTGCATGCATTTCTCTTTAATTAAGAGACTGCTGGTTTGATTGATGAGAGACGTATGATCTTTATATATTTCACTACACAACTAACTGTGTGTACACATGTGCCGTGCATGCTAACACGAACTGGTGGATGCGAACTTAGGGCTATCAATATGGGCATTTGTTGACCTCGAAATGTACTCTCTTTGCGTATTACACATCAAGACTGCTCAGCCAGAAGCCCGAGACGAAGAAGGTACCAGCCTTGAGCTAAATGTGGTCTAGTGTAATATCTCTATGCTGCCAGCGTGCTACAGTGATCAATAGAGCACGTTAGTCGATTTTTCTGGTTTGGCCAAGCGCATCAGGTGAACAGGCGGCTATCCAGACCGGAGTTCATGGTAATAAGAAGGCTTCAGGGGCTGTGGTCCACAACACTTTGATTAGCTCCAAATGTTTCAATATTTGTGCCCCACATGTCCAGTTGCTTGACCAGTTCCGCCAAGCAACAGGACGCTTCGTAATCGATAGCATGCTATCAGTTTGCCTACTAAAATATCATAGACGGTGGGCTGCCAGGTGCAACAAAGCTATTTTCATTCACAGTCGTTTTGATGCGTTTTTTCCAACCTCAACCTTCTAATACGTGTGCGCGAATCAGAGCTGGTAAGGCTACGAGAAGGGAGCAAAAGTATCCCCGAAGTAAACAGGACCTGCTGCTTCGCGAAAACCCTGGTCCAGAAAACGTCTTTATGCACAATAATACTTCACTGTGCTCTATCGACTATGTAGGGTATTTTAGTCTGGTAAATTTAATTCTGAGGCAGAAAGACCCTCCCATTCGTTCGTTAGGCGACAAGAGAAAGATAACGAGATGCCTTATTTGGGGATTAGCTGGACAAGTTACGGTATGGACTGAAGCAGAGACAATTCTGGATACATCACTATGGGCATAAGGTCCAGAATTTTTTCACGTAGACTTTAACGCGCTTGAAATCGTGCAGGGGATATAACTGGTTGGCACTTGTTCAGAATGGCTTCAGGAACATAGTGAGTAGTGCTTTGCTAATATGACTTATATTTTTGACTTGAAACTGGTGCCTTGCTGTGCGATAATATGTTTTCATGTTTTTTTATTTCCACTGACTTTGTGGCCCTTTTTTCAAGCATAGGCCTGTTGTTCCTTTTGTTGTTTGTGTTGAGGCATTTGTTGGTCACTGAACCACGGGTTTTGCTACTGTGCTCATATAAGGAATGCCTACTTTGCACAGCATGACAGCACTGTAAATGACCGACCTCGAATAAAACGCATTTTTTTCTGTTGTGGATTCATACATCTAGTCCACTGTATTGGAATCAGATGAAAGGAAGCCGACCGTGGAGGTAGTGTCTGTCATGATCATTTTTATTGCATAAGTTTCGAATGCAACAAAAACTATGCCTTCGGGTGTTCCCTTGAAGCACTACTGTACTTACGTGTGGTGTTAGTCCCCTTATATGAATCTGTCGTTAAATGTTTGTACCATCACACTACTCATGTAAAATTTGGTACCTTGCCATCAGAGAAGTAGCTGTTCACAGCCCAGCTATATCTTCTTACACAGTTAATCTTCTTTGTAACTTCCGTCTATGAGTAATTTTTGATATCTCGTCAGAAATTACGTACTGCCGGTTCGTCCTCTATACATATTACCAACTAGCTGACTTTGTCCAGTCTAATAGTTTTGCTTCATGCTGATGAGTAGTTTCCTGGTTTACTTTTTTATCTGATTATTGGACCTTCCCGTTTCACGTTCGCAATTGTAAGCCTGTTTTCCTAAACGTCTTCACCATAACTACACCATGTGTTCTACATTTTCACTGTTTGCACGCCCTTTGTTAATGTTCTGTGTGTACACAGCCTTTTATTTTACTTCTGCCTCCAGAGTGAATTTGCGCTTTTTCTTCCATTTTTCTGTTCCAGGAAGAACGCAAACGTCGGGAAGAAGAGGCAAGGCGCGAAGAGGTCCGTGCATGCGTTGCATGTTGTTTTTTTACTGTTCAGCCATGCGGCCTTCTCTTATTGAACCCCGAAAATGCGCTGAGAACTCCGTGCGCTTGCCTGCAAAAATTATTTGGCTGTCAATCAACATCACTTCATATGTTACGAGGAATGAGGCGCGAACACCGCCGGAACTGTACTGGGAAGTTTCAGGCAGAATATAACAAAACCGCGTCTGGTGCGGAGTGGAGAGATGGATTGTCTACCGAGAGAGTAGACGTCAAAGAGGCCGGCTTGACATGGCAATAAGAGATACAGTTCTGTTTTGTAGTGCCTGCTTCAGAGTGCATGGTTTGCATGCTCCCAGATCATCTAAAAACCTCTGATGAAACCATTTGTAGTTAGTTCCTTGATCTGGTTTCCAAACGGCGATAGCATTGATTTGCTGTGGCCAACCAAACGACCAAACATCGGAAATTTATTTTACTGCTTGGCTTACACTGTAGTCCAATGCTAATCCAAAAGGCAGCTCGGCGGTGCTTCCAAGCATGGTGTCCTGATCTGTGTTTTTTACTGCACGTCATATAACCATAAGCACGGAGTAAACCCCGACTAGTCTGCCCATCTATCTGCCTTGTTCTGAGCTTGACAGGTTCGCCTGTCGAACCCACAGGAAAGTCATATTACCGTGATTTGCCCGCCTCTTTCACTCCTAGGTTGCACAAGAGCGGCAAAGAAAACAACAAGTAAGTACGATACCACTAGTTACTGTACAAAGTACATGTCCAGGTGGAACAGGTTCTTTGTCCAAGATACGGTCTTCTGTTACTTATCGTCTTATCAGACGCTTCAATCAAGTGACTACATGGTGCGCATTATGCACTGGCTAGAGCCAACCACGAACGGTTTGTGGTGAAATAGCATTGAACATCAAGGGTTTATCTTCTCAGAGTCAATGAAGCAGTGACCAACCATACCACGCCAGATGGTGTTCGTTACCACTGCATGAACTAGGTTTCATACCCGGAAATTGTTATCCGTTTATTACTGGAGGGGCAAACATGGACTTCAAAATATACTGATGGCTATTTCCACTTCAGTATACTCAAGGATGACCAACATGCCAGCAAAGAAAGTAAGCTCAAGGGAATGAAAAGTAACCTCGTGCTCCCAACAACGAAATCAGTCATTTTATTTCAGAGAAAACCTTAGGGTAAACCTTATGTATGTAAACCTTATGTGAAAGAATCTGACTAAACACAAAACACTAGAGACCATTTCCCTCAAAACAGTTTTCTTCCTTTTTCACTGCATTTAGGACTATGGGGAAATTTATCACGAATTTAAACTTTTTAAATAATTGAAACTGTCTTGGAAGCTGTCAACCTCTGAGGGCTTGTTAGTATCCCTCAGAGCCGACGGTAAACCGCAAATGCTTATCTCGGAGACAGCCAAAAGCTCTGTCAAACTAATCTACAAGAGAACGCAGATAATTTTTTTTTTGATTCGGGAAAATATTTTGTTAAAGTTATCTAACTGTTCATTTGCACCTTTAGGAGAAGCAGCGGCAAGAAGCTGAAGCCTCAAAGAAACAGCGCAAACCTGGCCAGAAACGAAAGGGTCTCGGCGGCCTGTCGAAGGAGAAGAAACGCATGCTTAAGGTATGGACATGATTTCCAAATTTCGACCCATGATGACTGGGTCACTGGAGTTTTCTTGAAACATAGAAAACTTGTTGTTTCCTGACCTTCCCTTCTCTTCTCTAGCAACTGATCATGCAAAAAGCCGCCGAAATCATGAAGGCCGAAAGAAAGAAGGAACAAGAAAAACGAGATGAGTATGTCAGGAACAAGATAGGTACTTTGTCGCTCGATGGCCTGAATGAGAGTAAGTTGGTTTGATGAGATCAACCGCATGCAGTCGCTTGTACCGATTAAAACAGGGGGTATTCAAGGTAGTCGATGCCTGTATGGTAGTTTCTAAAGAAGACACATTTTTCATACTGTGGTTTTCCCCATGATGGTTTGTTCTTTTGTGTTGCTGTAAAAAAATGAGGCACAAGATTGTTCATACATATTTACCATACAACCATATTGGAACCTCTCAACGACTTTTATCCATTTGACAAACCACGCGTCTCCACACCAATGAGATTCACTACAAAGGTCTTGGAGTAAGGATGCCTTGGCGCGAGTTAACCACATTGCTGATCAGCAGCCTGTGCTTCAACTACTGACCAGGATCAGGAAAGGTCACTTCTCCCTGAAGATTCATCAGATATGCACCGCTGGTGATTGCCAGAGAAAAGGTGGACCAACTGTACGGGGTTTCTTAGCCTATGGGTATAGATTATATTCACTTAAGAGATGAAATATTCATTAAAATCCAAAGTATCCTCACACCACTGCAATCCATTAATTAACGGACGAAACCACTACTCTCTGACATCCCCACGACCGGTTTCGCCCTTTTTGAGACTCATCAAATAGACACAGTCCTCGAGTTTCCGTTAAGCTGATAAACCCCAACTAACCCGAACTCATGCTCTACTTGAACCCAGGTTTCGACAAATACACTGATTTGCATATCAATTTAGTTTTCGTTTATGATCTCCAACTAAATGTGTTGCACAAAGACCACCCTATACCAAATTGATATTCAAATGAGTGTATCTGTCGTTACCTATACATGCCACCCGAAAAACAACGGGATCCATAACAAACTCCAGTAACCATATTTTCCGAGTTGACGGTTCATACGTCCTAAATCTAACAGCGGTTTTGCGACCTGATGTATAATGCAAGTCAAGAAGGCTAATGGGTCAGTCCGAAGAAATGACCCGATTTTCACCTTGAAAATTTAGTAGCACATCTCCTCGACCCTGGGCAGTTTAAGGGTCGGTTGTTGATTCAACATCCGTACTTTGACACGTGTCGTGTGCTTCCCTTGTCCATTCGAATTCCCAATTTTTACGGTTGTAAAGTGGAGCAGCAATCGTGCTGAAATCTTTAGCAAACTGACTGTAGTATCCTGTCCGTCTGGAAGACTGCCATAAGAACAACTTTGAATTGAGGACTGCACACTCCTGGATCCTTGCCAGTTTTACGGTAGTGGCTTAAGCTCTGCTTGAACCACTTTATACCCAAACAGTGTCACCGAACTTCGAGCGAGCTATATATTGGCTTCATTTATCCGCAGGCCAGTTTCCGGAATACGCGTCAATACGGCTTTCAGGTGGACGGCGTGATCTTGTTCGTACGAAAATATAATTTCCGTACTCAGTAGCATTCTGTGATCCCTTCGTTAAGTGAGGCATCAAGCCCCGGAAAGTGAATGGTGTCTGCAACAAAGCAAACGTCATCTGTCTAAGTTGATACTGGTTGTCCTCAACCATCAACGCCATTTTATCTCTATTCTCTTACTTGACCGACTTTGCCAGTGTTCGGAACGCAGGTCAAACACTGTGAACTATAGAGATTGCAGAATCGAATCAGATATCACCATAATTGAAGGGACAGCTACAACCCGATTTACATTCAGTTAGTTCAAACGCTAGAAAACAACGCAAAATTGATATTTCTTGTTTACCTTCTTCACAGGCACAACCTGGGAGTTGTGCACTCTGTTAGCTTCCCCGATTATGTAGCTTTCCTTCAAGCCATTATTTATAATCAGTTTGCCCCACTTTATGTCCACTATGGAATCTGCGCTCTTGAGGAAATCTGCTCTCAAGCTGTCTGTTTTATGTCTGGGCTAATCAGGAATTCATACTGTGCCAACCTGTTACCTAGGCACAATGAGTGTTCTGAAAAGCCAGCAATTTTCAGTCTATATCCACCCATTGTCCTCACGGCTAGCGCGCACAGTTCGCTTTCAGCTTTGTTTCCTCCGTGCCTCACTTACAACCCTGCCACGGTATTTTCTAAGCATAGCTCCCTGTTCCTGTTCGTATTGCAGCCTGTCACTGCATTAATCGTAACCGACTCGGGAAAAGAGGATTTCTCTAAAGCGTTATTATTTACAGGTGATCAAACACGGCAACGGTGATTCCTTCAGTGGCCAGGCATGCCACTGTTGTAGCATTGGTTCGCTCAAGCGTGCCTCTGCGATTTTGTTTTAATGACGGCCAACTGTTCGATTAGTCAGTCTACTTTGGTCTGCATGTCCTCCACTGATGAATCATTCCTCTTCCCTGCGACTGTAACGTAGCCATTGGCGCCTCAGTCAATTCCCAGGCCAGATGCACCAGCTCCTGCTTAATTAACGGCCAGTTGTTCTCCCCAGCCCCAGCTGGGTATCAAGCGCCGGCTGCAGGTCTTTGGCGAACTAGTATAGCGGCAGATGCTGGCACGACACTCACTCAAGTCCCCGCAAGGCACGATCTAACCACTGTGGATTAGAGAAGTACTCTCTCGGATCTCATCCTGATCCCATCCATCCCGCCTTGAACCGCCTCATAGCCTCCTGGCGGCCTGTATGCTGAAACTCTCTCGGATCTCATCCTGATCCCATCCATCCCGCCTTGAACCGCCTCATAGCCTCCTGGCGGTCATCCTGTATGCTGAACTCCATTACAATAGTTTCCATCGTGGCGGTCTAGTCCATTTTCCAAAGGCCCTTTCTAAACTCATCCAGGAAAGCCTTCTCCCGGTCCCTCAGGAGGGTCCAAGTGCCTCAAACTTACCCCGGCCGGTATTCACTCCAGCACCCTCCATTTCAAAGTACTGGTCACGAGATCTTCATCCGTACCATGGCGACAGAATCCCTGCGAAGTTATGAATAAACGCCATATGAACGGTTACACGCCATGAGACATGAAAGTAAACTTCTCATCTGTACGGAATTTTGGAAAGTGGACATTCTCAGGAGTCCTCTTTAACTTTCCTGGACGTTCATCAAATATTAAACAATGGTAAAAACAATGCAAAGCGGCTCCACAATTCCCGTAGTGACTTTCAACTTCCATCGGACGCATGGCCGGAACTTGGACATCAAACAATAGACTACTCGCACGCTCCATCAGTAGCATAGACCATTACTCCCGGATCAGGAAGTGGATGTATTCAGGGACTAAGAAATTATCAGCTCGCTCCAACCAATAAAGATAGTCTCTAGCCTGAGAGTATTTTTCCGGAATAGTACGAATATGTATATTGCATAGTTTCCTAATATGGCTTGTTTTTCCTCTGCTTTCCAGACGATCTAAGGGCGAAGGTTCAAAAATTGCATGAACAACTGAGGCAACTGGAGGGAGAGAAGTATGATTGGGAAGAAAAGTTACGACGACAGGATGTTGAGGTAGGATTCCCATATGGAGTTTTGCCAAGATGTATGTGTCGGCGATGAGTGGTTTGTTCAGGCTCAATTGAAGGTAATATACATAGCCAATTACTTCTGGGAAAATTATTTAATGCAATGGAAATTGATCAGTTCTCTTTCTGGGTCTGTGACGCGCTCTGAAATATAAGCATAATACTACCATAAACTCATCCACTCATGAAAACCAATTGTGTTCGGTTTCAAATTTCGTCGAGATGAAGTAACCTTGGAAGTAACCTTGAAGTAACCTTGAAGAAACCTTGAAGTAACCTTGGTATTGGTGATGTCTAACTGATGAATCCAGCCACCCATCATGAACGAATGGGTACCTCCCAGGGAATAACTCAAACTACAAATTTCTAAAATGCAGGGCTTGTACCCTTTGGTTTTAGCATATACCAATAAACCAAGGCTTTTCAATAAAAACCTTAGCATTTCCACTTGCCTATAGGTTTAGCGCTGCCAGTTGCCTAATACTCAGAGAGGTAATAACGAATGAGAACAGCGAACAGTTTCTATCACCTCATCATGTGTTAGTGGAAGGCACTGTTTTACATCATGGATGGACTCTAACTTTGCGACCACCGTGCTTGAATGCCTTATTAGCGTACCCATTGTTTTTGTTATATTGATGCCTGCCCCATGAATACATGTGGTTTACGTTGCAAACAACTGTCAAGATCTCGATGAATCATGAATTATGAACCAATGCTCCAGACCTCTAGAAGAAAATGTAACACAAATCCGCCATTCATTATTTAAAAGAAAACATGAAGCACTTGCCATGATGCAATGAGCCATTTGCACACTGAAATGATTTTAATGGGAGATTGGAACGGTCACCAAACGAATCTCTCATGTATACTGGTTTTCACTCAAATAAACAATACAACGCCTGTCTATGAAGTCATTTGGTTTGGTATTCAAGGGGCTGAAGTGGTTCGTCCTTTATGAAGAGTACCAAGGTTGGCAAAATTCTCTGACAGTTTAGTTCTACTTTCCCTCCACTGTGGATTGTGTATGCAAGTATCGTCATAGGAATTTCATCAGTCTTTCTATCTAAACACCAGGTGATACACAGTATGATCTATATTTACATATATTCGCATTTTGTTTGGATCAGATTATAAGACAATTGTTTAACGAATGACGATAATGTCAGTCGATTGCAAACACAGTGAGAAAAGTTTCTATGGTTTAGTGGGACTAATATCCAGAATATCAACCGTTCTGTATTGCATGTATGATTCCATATCTCCGGCCTAATGATTCATTTAGACTGATTTTCAAAATTAGAAAGATGAGACTTAATGAATACTTGTTTAAGTTATTTGAGTCGTGGTCGGTCCCAAGTTCCCATTCATTCCGAATTCACAGCCGGGACAGTTTAGCTGGGTACCTTCAATTTTCTACCTGGTGAGTACTCGCCTAGACAGTGGACAAATACTCCGGAACTGTGGAGTGTATTTAGCCTGCTTAAGTAGAAGGTGCTTGAATTTGGGTGACCTGATTGTGTCGAGTTGTATCGGTTTAGCTGTTTTTTTATCGTTAATTAGAAAAAACTGGTTAGAAGACCTTATTGAAGACGGTTCTGAATAACATAAACACCTGTCACGATAAAATAAAATGACGCAACCAATCACTAATGAGGCATTCAAGTTGTTATTGTGAGTTTAAACGATACCAGAGTATAGACTGGCTACACATTTCATGGCATATGTGTCAATAAATAAACACTGTTGTGACGTTTTGAATTTATGATTAAATAGTTTATTTGTTTCTGACATTTTACTCTGCTTTTAAAATAGAGTCGATCGTCCTACGGACGTTTGGAAAGGACATCCTAAACCCTCCCTAGGAGATCTGCTTACTTAACCCTTCGCTTTTCCCTTCTCAGTAGGATTCTTTGCTCAACAGGGTGTGCGCAACTAATCTCTTATGACTTTAATTTGACATGGATCGTTGAGTAACAATAGCTAAATTGAGTAGTTCGTAGATTGCTGAGAAACATATAGGTGAGTATTTTGTCGAAACAACAATGTAATTACATAAAACCCACGAATTTTATTTACGATCCACGCTTATGGATGATCCTGGGGACTAGCCGGAAAAAAGAATTATTTATTCGTTGTTCTTTGTGGATCTTTTTATTTCCAGATCATTGAAATGACCGTCAAAGCCAACGACAACAAAGGAAAATTGTAGGTTCTTATTCGAATTTTTTTCCTTGTGACGCCTCTGGAAAGGCCAAATTCTGTTGCCAGTAACTTGATATATTTGTGCAAACAGGTCATATGGGAGTTTCAACTGTAGATTTTCACGATGAGTAACATTTTACGAAATGGACACTCAAACACATCAAAACAACTCTCGGTTCACCCCGATGATAACGATACACCATGGAATTCTGACTAGAATTCGTCAACCCCAGAATTTACTCACAAGCGAATATGTTGTCGTGTATCATAACCTTTTTAAGCATACACGTGGACGTTTGACTAAATGCTTTTCTGTGTAGGGACTCCAAAAGTGCTTGAAAATTTGGTATCACGGACTCCCTTAGTGAAGCGTCATGCCCAGCGACCAATGCTAAAAAAAGCAGCCACTCCACGGAATTAGTCGAATGTTGAAATTTTAATGGCATCATGCCTGCTGTTGAGGAGTCACAGATATTTCTAAACTGGCTGGTTCAGATCTCCCTTACCCTCTAGCTAGAAGGCGCCCGGCTTAAATCTTTAACGTATTGGCTAGGTGTGCACTGTTGCTTGTTCCCAGAAAAGATGAAATGGCTGTGCGGCTTTCCAGCTTTTTAGTATAGATTGGATTTGTCACTTAGAATACCTGTGTGTACACGATGAACAGTGGCCACTCAACCTAGAGAATCAACATATTTTCACATCAATGTCGAACACATTGTGGACACACATTCTGAACACATTCAGTTAGCGGTGGACTTCATACGCATCTTAAAATGAATGATAGATTTGGTACTTTCATCTTCCCCTGTTATTGTCTTCCAATTTCAACAAATCGGTTTGAAATGTGATTCAAGGACGGCTTCGCTAAAGTGCTCATACAAAAGGCTCTAGTGAATTAGGAAGCATTATTAACAATACAGAGTAGAGAATTATTATTTCAGTCAGTCCTTCGACATTTAAGGGCATTAAATACCAAGGTATAATAAATGCAGAGACAAGGTGAAGCCACCCCATCTGGTTGCAAATGACAAGGAGACACAGACATGGAAGAGAACGATGCAGCACCAGACCAAAAGCCCTCAACCCCACATCTTTTGTGGGCAATGAATCTGCTCGTAGGATATTTACAAGGCAGAAAAGGTCGACCTACGGAGCATACTTGGGATTGCTCTTCGTGGAAAATTGTGTTAAATCCTCCACTTGAGCGGTAGGAATTATAGACTTTTAAATTTGCAGACAAAAGCAAACACATCTTTAGTGATGACGCTGATATTTCACTTTAACAGGTCTTCAAATCTCATTACTCCCATTCATTTTATTCAGATTAGACTAACTAATTGCCCCAAACAAGCCCCAGTATACAGCAGAAATATTTCGTCACGCTGATAGTGACGATGATGCACCATCCCACGCACAGTTTGCTCTACTATTTCTTGTCTGCAATCCCACCTATAACGTTCTCTCTGGCGTACAAATTCATCTTCCCGCAGTAGTGACGAGGCAAGAGATTCCGGGTGTGGGGTATAGGTGAACAGTATTCAAACAATTATGAATAAAGTTATAGGTCACCTATGCTCACCTTCCCTCATTCCATTGACCAGCGTCAAGCCTGTCCTAAAGAAAGTGTCCAAAACCGAAAGTCACATGGCTCGATTCGAGAAGAAGGAAGGGTCAGGACACACGCTTTCCTCCTTCCGAAGCCAGCTCAAGTCCACAGGCCACAGCAAATACGCTCTGGAAGAAAAGGACGAATCTGGTGGAGTAAGTTTGAAAGTCTCAGCGCGTAAGTAATCTTAACCTAACTGAAAGCTAAGTCTTCTGTTCAACAAACATAAGCTATCCACCGAATATTCTCGTTATCATTCACTATTCTATCTCCTGATATGGGGCTAAGATAGGTCCCCCAATCTGCCCTGTCTCAGCGAATAGTTTTATGGACAGCCTGGGAACAACCCTTTTAAGTCAATCACAAATCAGTTACCATTTCCGGAACGATAATATGGCATAACCGGAACAGCTTGTGTGAATTCCATTTATATTTTCAAAATCCTTACCTAACCTTATCCAATCTTTGTAAAAACTTATGTACCAAGTTTTCTACTGAAACTAACGTGTTTTTCTCCTCCTTGCCAACCATGGCAGCGGTCAGCAATCAAAATTTGTTTTGATCTCTGATCCGGTCTGCATTCATTATCACAACAAAAATGTTTTGGACAATTCGCTGACGTACCACAAATACCGAGTACGTGTGTGATGTCCTGCTGTAAACCGGTCGCGTGGATTGTATAGTCCTCGAAATCTGAACTATATGGACAAGCTATGCATCGGTGCATCAAAATGAAAATGGAAAACACATGAAGGCGAAAACGTTTGGCGTCTGGCGTGACAGGAATTTAGTTATCAACAATTCTAATTAGATCGTTTTTGCAGGAGTCGTTATAACGACTGTGCCTCTACGGTGTTAATATCTTGTTTAACCTTATCATATTCATACTGCTACAATAATGTGACGGCTTACACAGTTCTGGTAGCTAAAGGAAGAACATATGCCGGTTACATCCCAGCAAAATAAGACTCTCTCTTTAAGTACAAGAACGCGCAAACAAACATATGTTCAAGTAGAACAGTTGCTCCACGATGCCTTCTATGGCGTCCAATTTTTCCCAATAAAAATCTCTTAGTGATCGCATGCTAACCACCTCAGGGTGCCCGTGGGCTTAGTCACTCAAAATCATAACTCGAATCATGACCAAGTAGCTAAACAAGTTCCTAAGCAATATTCAAGCATCTAATTGGTATGAACCTCCTTGTCTCATCTGAAACCATGGAAGACCATTCCAAGTTCTCCTTTAGTCTCAGTTACCCATAAAGTTTTACTACGCACGTGCCACCGTATACATCACACATGTACACCACACATTATCAGGAACTGTGCCTTGTCAGCTTGTGTGTCAACATGAGCTTCAATCATGTTTTTTCCTTCTTCTGTAACAGAAAGCTAGCTGGCTCAAACAGAAGGAAGAAGAAGCGGCAGCACCTGCTGCAGCACAATAGAGGAGGTCGCTGGCCCATTCTTTCTTCTTTTTTTCTTGGTTTTCTATCTTGCCGTGTGGTTCGCTGTCTCCTGCAAGTGTCTCCACGCGCGCGGGCCGACTTCTCGTCTCCTCCACTTACACCCGCATTACCCTTTCTGCCAATAAACCCCCGCAAATCACTTAACCCCGGAGCTATGTATGTGCGACGAAACCGTACTGTACCATACACACAGATCGTCTTTGCAATTTCGTTGTTCTCTTCTTGCGATCGCGATGTTTAACTTTAGAATTTCTTTTCTTTCATCGTTCTGCTGAATAACGATCGTGTACACTTAATTTCTGTGAGCACGCGTGATGCGCACGCATTTTAAGAGTCACCAAAGTTTCTTTGAACCCGCGCATCACCACCTCACCATTTCTCTTAGTTGTGTCTGAGTAACATTGTCGTCATAGTGTGTATTCTCACACCTGGTCGACTATTATTACAACACAGCTAATGAGTTATCTGACTCTGATCAAGGTACGACGTGAACGACGGACCTAACTGCGCGCACGGAAACCCCCTTTTTGTGTCATGTAGAACGTGTATGCATGTGCACCTCTCAAACTTTCATTATCCCTATTGTTAGCAATGGTGACGAGCTCATGTTTATTTCACAAGACCTGATGAACACATAAAACCTTGTTCTGTTGAGACCGTTATAAAACCATGAGGATATTCAGGCTAACTAGGAGTGGAAGAACTTGAAATGAATCTAAGCGTGGCGGGAGAAAAGCTAGTATCCACTTATCCACAGTTCCAAAGATTCTAAATGCCTATAATAATGCTAGGCAGGTCCAACCACCTTGTATGTAACAAACTTGCGATGGAGGATACCCTACAATCCTGGGGGAAATCGGCTAGCAGGTTTGTGAAAGCCTAACGAAATTGCAAAATGCGATCAATGATGTCTAATGCCTCCACGGTTTGAAAACTACTTATTTTCTACATCCCCCATACTTTGCTAGACCAACGTCGTTTATGCAGTCGAATCGAAGCAATCGATTTTCACTCACTATAGCGCTAAGCTAATAGCCACTAGGCTATTTAAATAAGCCAATCATTTTGCTCGTTGTAGCTTTCGTACCGATCTTTGCATGCCGGATTCGCATTCGCGTTCTCAAATCTGGCTGCCTTAATCTTAATGACAGGACAAACTTTTCTTGAAGGTTGTCATGAAAAGTCAAATTAGTAGACTCAAGATAAACGTTTTTAGGCCTCCTGAAACACTGTCAATCAAATAAACAAGTCACAATCAAAGTTGATTGACATTTTGCAAGAGTTCAAAGTCACAGCATCAACTCAACTTAAAGGTGAAAGACAGCAAAAGAAATCCCGTATGAAATTGGCCCCAAGGAGTGAAGTGGCTGGACCATTTTTTGTTCACTGATCTCACAAGTCAGACACTGATTTCACTCTACCGACTGGGTTATAAACATGAGGTGGTTGACACTGAATAGGTTATTGAGCGTCCGCGGTCATTTACGTGGCTTTATCAATACAGCGTCAGACAGCAATCCGCGAGGTTGGCTAAATTGTTTAGTTGAGGCAGACTGTTAGTGTGGCCGCAGCAGCATAGCAGATTTTGCCCTAAAAAATCAATATGTGAGTTTCAGTTTTTCTCTCGGCATCTTATTAACGCTTCATGCTAAAGGAATTTCTCAACGAGTAATTCACTATTAGTCAGATATCAGTAACAGGGCAGACCAGGGGAATAAATGGAACAAATCGAAAATTTTTCGTACAGATTAGGAAAGGGTGGTGGGCACACTGTTATCCACAACACATCACTAAGAGTGACAGATTTCTAAGCTTCCTTGTTCGGAAGAAATCTGATTGGTCCATCTTAACTTATATCGTGCTATTAATGCCGGCGTTTACATTGAGCTGTTCTTAAAGATAGATTCTCGTTGTTCTCTTTGAACGTTCTCTCTTCCAACGGTTGTCAATCTTACAGAATCCACAAATTAAGATTATATTAGAATGTATTGACTCAATAATCAAATTTGGACGCTATCGACATGCACCCAAACGATATATAACCTATTCCAAGTGTACGGCTAGATTATATCGCCACTACATTGAAACACGCAATGAGAAGGCTTTCTGCTAGATCTCAGAAATTTTAGCAACCTGAGGTCTTGTTGAAACACATCCGGTGAACCTGAGGAAACTTTACTGCAGTGTTGATGGCTCACTCCAACTTCTCTCCTACTAAATTTGTCATAATTATCGATCATATTACTGAAAAACCGTTGGTCGTGAATCAAAATTTCTACTTCATCATTGAATTCAGGAGCTTTTGATTACTCGTTTCATAAGGGTTAACGATATTGTCATAATTGTGTGCTGTTGGAAGAAATCTAAAGTGATGACACAGAGTATGTTGCCACAAAGTGAGAATTCGTAGTAAAAAAAGAATCAATTACGACGTTGTTCAAAGCCATCATTTGGAATCTTGCTACGTTTGACGACAGCACTAGCTATTTTTTTGTCTAGTTAGTCGTCTAGCGAGGTGTTAAATAGGAACTTGTGATGAAGCGGTGTATTTTAATCGTCTGTTGACCTCGTGCGTGTTAATTGAGATTAATAGGAATCACATGAATGAGAGTCTTTGGCAATTCGTCTCTAGGATTTCCAACTCGGAATACAGGTCGATGGCAGTGTACTTCTCTGAATGGGGAAAATTCATTTAGGCAGACGACACGATCGTGCTGCACTTTACTACTTCGAATAAAATAGTTCTCAATGGGCACAATCTTTAAGAAACTTCGAGGTTTCAAGGGGAGGACGGGGTATTCGTCTCATCCGATTGTCCGCAGAAGCGTGGAGGAATTCCATTAGTATTCTCATAATGAAATGAACTCCTTGGGACAGACAATGTCGAATGAAATCATGGTCCTGGTCCATTTTGTTGAACGGTGTCACGGGCCAAGTATTCGGGGATAGATGACATAACACAACGATGGAATGAAAATGCCGAAGAATCGTTTAAGTACCTCTAGTGTATGGAAACACTGAAATCCTACAGTGATCGTTGACTAGCGGATGTGTTTTGTACTGTACTAACGTCGTGCGATGATTCAAGGATATCGCTTGGTTTAGAGCATAAAGAAGGGGGTAGAGCAATGTCTACCAATGAAGAATAATAATGAATGGTCTTATCATCCATAAGGAATCAGCCAACCAGAATAACCAATGAAATAAGAACGGTTGGTAAAACAATAGGCGCAATTCTCTCAGAAATCCTCAGGCAACTGAGACAGCAATGTATTTTGATAATCCAACGACAATGGTCATCACTGGAGTAAGGCAATCAGTGAAAGCATCACCCACTAGGGTTGACATCTTGTGACTTACGGTACCTTACCAAGGCTCCATTCACATTCATACCAAGGTTCTTCTCGTATTCCGATGGTTAATTATGCTTTTTTGTGTTCCGTGATTGCAAAAGACCTTTGGACTTCCAGAACAAGTCTCATAAGTTCAACCTCTCTTCAGGTAGGAACTGTGGTTCAAAGTTCTGTCATAGTAGCCTGAATGAAGGAGTGGAGACATTTTCTTTGACAGGAATCAAATAATAACAGATATATAATAGATACAAATTAAAACGTCCTTGTCAACATTTTCAGCGTATTTAGGACTGTCCTACCCTATCAGATGAATATGCTTTCCCCCTCGTGTCCATGTTCCGCAATCTACTGACTGGTCAACTTTTGTCAGTGCATGATTTCAGAGATTACAACAAGTTCAAAAGGGGCCGATTAAATGCTTGTAGATAAAAAAAACATTGGTAGCTCAGGTTGCAATGATAGCCGTTGTTTTGCTCGATAAGCAATTTGGCTGATTATCAGTGTGCTGTGAGTGGATGTGCGCTGAAATTGGACGGGCGTGTTTGTTGCGAGTACGTGGATCGATGTGTGGTCTGTTTACCGGGGTCGACCTGAGTCATTCACTGATCACTTGGATGAGCCTTCCTGGTAGTTGACCTGTCTTCCTATTGGTAGGTGTCCGGACAGCCTTGAGACCTGACCTATCCGGTTTCCCACCTTGATATTTGTTTGTTTTCCTCCACACTTGGACCCCTTTCTTGATACACTGGTCCAACGGCTGAGGGTTGCTCACTGTTGCCATTGAGTCCCTTGCATGTGTGTAGACAGAGTCCATTTCAATTTGCCGGTGCGTTGAACCGTTTGCAGAATACCATGCTTCGAGGAGTTCCCATCTCTTGTCTTGTACACCCGCGTGCTATGATCCTCACGGTTCTAGATCAAACTCGTGACACACTGACCATCATGTTTTGGAACAAGATATGGTGAATCGTGTCTTTAGATAGCTGTGTTGCGTTTCGCTACCCGTGTAGAAGTTTTTTTAGGCCTCCTCGGATATTTTGCAGCTGGATACAGAAAAGGCTAGATTTGCAGCTGCAGCGGTCTTGTTTGTGCTAGTCGCATTAAAATGACCAGAAGTGGACATACAGTGATATATCGGATTATTTGGGGTGAGATGACTCAATGCTTAGAGCGCGAATTAACTCACCGGAAGGTCCGTGATTCGCATCCGACTTCCGCCTCTCGACTTCCCCTGTCTAGACTTAGACAACCTGGTAGCAGCTCAACTCTCGTGCTTCCTTCTGATGGCATGGCGACCAGGCACCGAAAGGGTGTTATAGCTTAATGATTTATCGGATTATTTATTTACCAGGTCTAGGGTGGCTTTCTGAAGCAATCGCGTAGCTAAAACTGACGATGATAGATTTGTTTTTTTCCCCGCGTCCATCGTCATATGAACCGAAAGAGACCCAGATGCCTCAACACGTCGAACATTCTGTTGGCGATAAAACTGAATTTCAGTGAACATCATCTGGGGCTAACCCCAGAATGCTATGCTGTGGCTGTTACCACAACAGAGACTCGCATTCTAGCGGGTCTGGAAGGTGTCGGTTGAGATGTAAACTTCACACTGGTATAGGAATCTGTCTTTCTTCAGTTAGACGATGGCGTGCACATCACGTCATTCAATCTTGTTTGGTGGGAGGGGTGTAAATCAGTAGCTGAGTCAATGGATCAGTGGTCATCATTAGTCAATAACCTTATACTGATTCCGGATGTTACAAAACCTTCGGATGCCAGTCTTCAGAGCACCGATAAATGGGATCAATACGGCACTCACGGAGTAACGCAGCCATTACGAATGCACTTCTCATGTGACTGTACTGTTTCGGTTACAGGAAGCTCACCCTATCTGACAATAAAGGTGCTTAATTCACCCAATTATCCACGAATTTTTGCTGTGAATAGCCGATGAATGAACCTCGACTATACCACATGCTAGTTTATATAATTTTGCGTCCCGGATACGGTTCGCCGGACTCGGTAGCTACCATACATTCGACGTATTCGAATTTGGAAACAATTTAACGGTGTTTTGTCGAGTGGCTCAGATAAGTCAAGTGGCCTACGGTTATTAACACAGCTCTGTTGTGAAATGCTGCCTGATGTGTCGTAAACAATGAGGCCGGCAGCGATACATCTATGGCGTAAATATTTATGGATCTGTTGACCGGTTTAAACTTACCTAAGAATTAGTACGAGCTTAGAATTAAGAAGCTATCTGTCTCTGTGTGCCCGTACATTGACGCTTTTTACACCGGTATTCAGTTAGTCCTATTACATTGGATGGTTTATCACGGGAGATGGCACTGTTGGGGCTCCATTACTTAGACAGACACGTTTTCCTTGACAAATGGGCAACAAATCAGGTGCTGAATATAAAACTCTTTCTCACTGTAGCTGCTCTAGGAAATCTTTAAAAAAGAATCTGAAAACAGATTTAAAAAAAACAAGGGAAACCTAGAGGGTCGCTTATTAAATAAGGGCTGGGGGGTTGCGTTAATCAATCGTTTATCATGAATTACCATGTCGGTATTCGGTGATTTCTTTGGGTATTGGTTCTCGTCACACTAGGCTGGCGGCTGCGGAAGCAGCATCGGTTCTTCCGAGTTTAAAGCGGACCTACGCAGTGAATTGTTATTGGCTCCAAGTTGGTAAATACTAGCCCCACATTGTAATTCTCTGCCAACCCAATTCTCGTCTGAACACTCCTCCTCCCATCCAGGTATGATAACTGTTGTTGGTTCACACCAAACAATGGAAGTAGTGAAATTGTTTGGCTCACCTAACAGTTCAGCACCAATGTACACGGCTGGGGATACCGGGATTTGAATTCCGGACATCCGGAGACGAGCACGTTATCATCATTCAATGTAACTCTACTATCATGTCCAGGAATGTTTAAATTGACATTGAAATCGGTGCAAGAGGTTATCAGGTGACGGACATGTTCGATCTCAATAAGAATGGCTTACTGTTTCAGGTCACCCCAAAGTCCATGCAAGTCAACGAAGGCTTTATGCTACCAAGTTCGGATTTTCATTCTACGGAATAAAAGGCTTCGTTAAATAAACGGAGTATATGCATGGCGAAAAACGCTCGAGTAACCATTTGACAGTTACATTCTCTTAGGGTGCTACTGAGGGACTAAACTACTGGTTCTTGTAACAGGGTCAAAGGGGTCGAGTGATGATGTGACAGTGAGAGTATGATCGTCGTTGCCAACGATAGGACAACCGCCTAAGAAGCGATGAAGTTTTGTCAGTTGATTTCCGTAATTCATGCCCCGAGATTCCGTCAGTGCGCTACTCCACAACCTTCCAAGTAATTGTTGGCTATAGGGTTTGCACACTGTGAAAAAAAGCTAGGTTTGAGATAGGAATGCGCACATGGTTTCTGTAAGGACAGCTGGATATTCATGGATAGCTACTGCGTCGCCTATGCTGCTCGCCATCTGGGTATGATTTCGGAAAACTAGTTTAACCGCTGGCTCGTCCGGTGAGGTAGATAATTCGCAACTATAGAAAGAACCACGTTAAGAAAATATGTGCGCCATGATCCAAGATAAGGACTATCTGCCTAAGGGTATGAGAGACAAGTTATTAGTGCCCCAGATTCCTACTAGAGAATTCAAACGGCCTGTCATTAGCTCCCAGTTGTTCGTGTGCATTCGTTGACTTCACTGTTCTGTCTCACTGAATCATCAATTGAGAAACATCCCATTAAGCTTTTAAGCTCAAGTGGAATACATATTGCGCCCTGAAAGGTGGGCGTGAATTCAAACCAAGGTCGGTCGTTTTGAGTTCACAAACACACGAATAAGACGCTCTGGCGTTGCTACTCCTGACTGGAACGCAACCGTTGCACAACCTTTGAACAGCATTCGGGAGAGCCCTAAATACGTTCAAACGAATAACCATCGGTATTGTTGCGATTTTCTGAAGCGTGAACTACGACACTCGGACAGACGTCTACAAAGCCGCCTAAAGGAATTTGTAATTAGCACCGTCAGCGGCAAAAAAACACTAGCCAGCAGTGAGGCTAATGTTGACGTCATCGGTATAACAACTGTGAAACGATGGCCGACTGAGTGACCAAGACGTCCGCAACAAATTCTCTTACTATGCTTAGCCACTATTGAGTAAAATCGACAGATTCTGAAAGGCCCACAGTTATAGTTGTTGCACTTGTGTTGAAAACTATCAGCAGCGAACACCCCACTGTGGCTTTTGAGGTGATGGATGATTAAGGGACGAACTTACTGATCTGAAGATCCATGGTTCAAATCCAACCCTGCTTGAGCAACCTTGCAGTATCTCGACCTTTGTGTACCCTTCCAACTGCGTGGTGGCTCGGCACCGAAAGGACCACCTAGAGCAAGCTTAACTAGATTTACCCCTTATTCTGGAACTAAAAGTACAGAATGACTAGACTGGCTTGACATGATGTACACTCACTGGCAAATTACGTTGCCATTAACGAGAGACCCAACAGAATCCTTCACATTATTCTGCAGATTAGCTTTAGTAGATTTCTGAACCTGACATTCATGTGCAAAAACGACGCCGGCTCAGTTAGCCGAGCACACCACGTGGCGCTAAATAACAAAATTACTTGAGCTCCAGCGACCACGAATAGAAGGGGTAGTTTGTGTAACTCCGTTTTAGGCGCGTGGCTGGAATGATATACCTTTTGCGTTGCAAGGGGTCACCTTTAAATCGCACATTCTCCGGAAGAAGCAACTGGTTGAAAATCAGTGGTAATATGCGTTACATATCAGCTGCGAAACTAGATGAGCACATCACTGCGTATGAGAACACCACCTACAACCGCTTTTGCTACAAATAGCGTTCACCAATATTGTCCAGCAATAGATCGACCTGTAGTGAGTAAAAGTCTGTGCAGTTAGCACTAACACCACGGAGTCGCTGGCCATAGAAGTGCTTCTACAACTAGACGATACCGGTGCTCGATTCAATCGATTGTTCTCAGTACGATCCCGTTCGGTCAAGCAGCATGAAAAGGCTAATAATGCCGTCGTCAACTTGTCTCGTTGCCTCTATTGCAGACACTGATGATAGAACATAATTTAGGACCGAGTATTCTGGAAACTATAGTTCCTTTTGTTTGTCAAGTTTGTTTTCGAGTATAGAGAAAGGGAAAAATGAAGTAAAAACAGAGGGAAAAAAAGTTGTGTAGCATCCAAAAGTAATGATTCGGTGCCATGGATTGCCAAGATTAGTGCCAACACAGCCAGTCCAGCGGATCTATGTACACCGCAAAGGGGAGAGGTGATGGGCAACAAATCTGAGGGATTATCAGAAATAAGGGGTGATCAAATTTTGGGTGAACCTGCAACACCGATGCAGGCGCACTGCCCTCCGTTGGACTACTGGCTGTTCTGGTCTTCAGAAACAAGAAGTAATAAAATCATAAGAGAAAGCAAAGTGAATTGTGACCAAAAGAAAAGATAGGACGAAGGTAAGGAAAGTGGACAAGTCAAAAGAAAAAAAGAAGTTAAAAACACTGAGCAGTCTACTGGGAAACGTGATAGCATGCTGCTAGGATGACATGGCAAAAAGCATGAGGTAGGCATAATGTGAAGCCTAGAAAAGTGCGGTTGATTGTCCACATGAGCAGTGACCAGAAGGAGGCACATACGCTGAAGATAGTGAACAGGGCTACAAAGCAGACAGAAGAACGAAGCTACAGACAAGTTTCACCTAGGCCGGAACTCCGTCTTCCAGACCGATGGTACTGAGGCCTAACTCCAGACGTTCTGTGGCCTCGTCAACCTCGTCTTCATCCAAATGTGATGTGGGACTGCTGCGGTCAGAGCCATCAGCACCCGCACTAGGTAGTGGGGTTGAGCGCCCAGATAGCGACGGAGAGGCTGGTGCCGAATAAGGACGACTCAAACAGAAGCTTCGTTCAGATATGCTGTCTCCGTTGTGCGTCGCACTTGGTGGAACTGAGAATAGTTCCGGTTTGTGTTTGTGTAGTGCCATTAGGCGAGCACGACGATAGTACTGAAAATGAAATATAGGCGTGAGTTAGTACCTTTGAAGTGCTCTAAAAAAGGAATCAGTACCATAGTGACACAGAACAGCGGTTTGAGAATGCTTGCCATGAGCACGGTCATTAGCGAAAGCAAATGTTCTCACTAACGACAAAAAATCATGCCAAAATCCGGATACGACGCATACCGACAATAACAAAGTAGCCGAATAACATGTACGGGACTCCCCAAGGAAACCATTAGCGACCTAACGTACAACCAATGCTGTCAAGTGAAAGGATAAATCTGGCATCAAGCAGTAAAGTACGGCTGAGCAATATTTCGATGTGATGTGTTTCAGATAAACCGAGTACGGTCCCGTAAACTGGGTCCAATATTTGAAATTCCGCCTAAAGGTTGTCCGTTCGGTATTTGAAAGATCGGTTCAACAGAATGTAGGACGAAAAGCATCGTCTCTTTAGGTTAACCGAGTCAAGCTATGTCAGTTGGACCAGTAAAACTGCGGAGAACCGACCAGTTAATTCATGTTGGTGGGGAATCGTCCGCATCCGGGTAATTTAGACTCAGAGGTCTTTCGATTCCAACTTCTGGACTTGTGGGATCCATACTATTCATATCGGTAGAGTCCACAGGCTGCAACTTTGGCCGCTGATCCGAAGGTCTGTAGTTGGATCTTGACCATGCCACTGACAGTACTTGCCAGGAAAACTGCACTGCTGGCACCGGTGAGTTGGATTTCTGAACCGCCGAGCTTATCAACTAAGGTGTATTTCACGTGCCACACAAAAAGATTAAAGAAGATAACCGTCCAGCCGTAATACCCTTTCGGTGCTTAGCTGTCATGGCAACAGAAGGAAACACGAGGGCTGAGGTACTACCAGGTTGCCCAAGCCTAGACAGAGGAAGTCGAGATGCAGAGATCGGGTTCGAACCACGGACCTTCCGGTCAGTGACTTTGCGCTCTGACCACTGAGCCATCTTGTGTCGCACACATGACGCTACATACGTTTCAAGCGACGAACCTGGCGACTTAACAAACTATACATTTTTGTGTGGATTCCGCTCATTGCAATCGATTGGGCCGTGAATGATACGACGTTGAAATGATCAACACACCAGATTTTCTGACAATTTTCAGCACTAATAGGCGTGTTAATTAGAAGTGAAAAAATCGGGATGCAGATAAATCGATTTGCTTCAACTGCCGTATACTCGCACTCGCATATAAATTTGGAAGGAGCACCTTTGATCGCCAGACACACCAAAGTGGGATGTGTGAAGGTGTGTTCAATATGTTACATCAAGGCAAGGATGTGATTGATGCATCCTCGGCCAGGACGAAACTCCGCTTGACTCTTACGGATTTGTCTCTCTCGATATTCGACTAACCTACGCAAAAGAATGCCAGAGAGCACCTTAGATGCGATGGGTACCAAGCTGACACCAGTCTAGACACTAGAGCACTGAAGGCCAATCTCAACAGCTCACAAGCGGAACTATCCTGAATGGCTAGATACCACATTACTTTAATTTGTTGTCTTACTGACCGAAAAAATCAGGTAAAGAAGTCCGGCTGGACTACATCCCTCACAAAAAGCCAGTAAAATGATAATATATGAAACTCACGGAGGCAAGATTCTTCCAGTCCAATAATTCACTGAGGCGTTCAGTTCGATTGCGCAGAATGATACGCTGTCGTCGAGAGTACTGACAGAATTCCACAAGATACTACAGAAACGATAAACAAGATAAACAAGGATAAACTTAGCAAAATAGTATGTGAGTGAAAAGAATTCGCCGATATTCACCATATGCATTATTCAGTCATCATACAAGAGAGTGGTCACATATCTCTCCGCTTACTGCACTGCATCCATCCATCCAAGTCTCAGTTGTGTTTAAACAAACTGTTTCTTGAAAGCGGACTTCCACTGTTATCAGAACACACTCTTATGTCAATAAACCTTTCAGTGCATACAATCATGCTCCTCGAGGATAGTGCTAATTTGGTTACCGAGGGTAGGCTTTGATAAAATCTGGTTGATTGCAGTGTTCCAAAATGGTGAAACGATGGAAAAATAGCAAACGCCATCCGTGATGCATTGTGTACGATGTGTCTAATAACAAAGATGTTCACAGTAGATTATTCAAACACATCTGCTGACTTGCAGTCAAGCCCTCACTTGACAAGACGTTTCGCTCCTGGCAAGTTCATTCAGAAGTAGACTCGCCTCTTGCTAGTCTTGGAAGAGCTTTTGTGGTGTGCTCTGGATGCCGCAGCGCACAAATGCACCATCACCGGTGTGTGAAATAAGCTAACCATGAATCTACACCTTTTCTGGATAGACTGAATCAGTCAATGGTTTTAGCGCTGACCACCGTTGTCCCTGACCCAATAAGGACCGCTGGGTGACCTGGTCATAATGGTTCTTTTTAGGAGGAGTCTCTATTAGAAGGGACCATCCAAATCTCTAGTTTGGCGTAGCAACTGAATTTCGTTCCTTTTTTTAATTATTGATAATGCAATTAGTCCAAAAGGGAGTATAATTCACAGGACTGAGCATCCCATCTGAGCAGTTAACACTGGAGGAGCCAGTCAATAGGTGACCACACGATGTGGGTTCCGTGATTGGAGGATGAGCGGCGCTATATCCTATACAAATGTGAGTTGATCACAACGCTGATCAGATTCTATCAACTGAATAGCTAGGCGTGTAAACTAATAGCCAAAATAATGTGAGTTCATGACTCCCTGAAGTTTCGTGAGATAAGCACTGCTGATGATTCCTAGCAAGGATGAAGTAGCTGAACAGTGCTTCTAGGGTTCCCAGAGCAGATTTCCTTCGTTTGAAGGACGAAATCTCCACCGAAAATTAGTTGGACAGTAGGATGTCCCATTACATCTCTTCGACCGTACTCACGCGTCTTTCATATTTGAGAGTCATACTGGTATCTTGGTTCCCATGACATGCTCGTCCGAAGACATGAACCATTTAGCTGGATTCCTACTCCCGTAACTGCGCGGTTATCGAGTGGACCTGGAACTGTCCCTAGAGTTGACTGGAAAGAGAAGGCTAAACACTGTTGAACTTAAGCTCCGTAGTAAATCTTATCATCTAATGTGTCATGCACGAGTCATACGAAGACCTCTTTGAACGGGCGTGATCAGTAAACCTCATTGTGGTTTTTGAGCACCTCTGTTTACACCAACCAAACAAAAATCAATGGTGTATGTATCTGAAACAGGTGGAGCGCAGGAATTTGATCATGAATCCAATCCTCCTTTAACGAGAGATCTCTGTGCGATGAGGTAGAGACTACAGTGAAAATTCCGAAAGGGTGGCCTTTCTTCGAAGGGACCGCAAATTAAATTGTACCGTCGAGAGATTTCATATATTACCAGGTCGGTGATTTCCATTGACATAGGTTTCTTCTGAATGTATTGCTGTGCGACAGTTTACATCAATATACGAGCTGTTTTTAATAATCCTCATTTTGATATTCGCGTATTACATACGAAATGAGCGGGTGAAACTGCCGTGCATTGGAAAGTTTTAAAACAACTGGATCACATATATTCTCAAATTTCCACATCCATGTGAACTAAAAGAAGGGATTTGGCGTCTAACTGCGAACGAAGGGGAATGCTACGTCGCTCTATTCAGGGCAGTAGCATCTGTTTGGAGGAGTCTATTTTCGAGAAATTCATGCGGTTTCACGTAGTTGGAAATCACATTCGGAAAGCTCAGTCGAGCTGGAAATGTGCGTTGTGATTAGTCACTTGAAAACAGCACGGATCTGGAGGAGACTCATGTTGACCGGTACCAGGTTGACACAACCCAGTACACCTAGGACATATGTCTTCTCCATTCAGTATTTGTTACCGTGCGAAAACAACCACAGGTCTTTGTCTCCTTCTTCAATTGTTTCGGTCTATGTGGTAATTTGAATGACCAAAGAACAATCCATATTAAGCACGGCTACGTAAGCAAGTTTGGACGAACCTCAAGGGGAACTTCATGTGCTCCACTAATATTCGTGTTGAAAAAAGATGAAATTCTTCAATAAATCATAGAATTACAGTCTACATACGAGATACCAGAATAATATTTGTCGAGAGGTACTGACTTTTGTCAATTGTTGTATACTATCTTCCACATTTTGAAAACGGCGATCGATCACATAGATTCCGTATGACTTGGGGTCTTCTACGTGCTCCTCCATGAAACAGCCAAAGCCGGAAAGATTGGTCGACACAGACGGGATACCCATAACCGTACATTCAGCTGGAAATAAGGCAAAGTATTTGACTAAAATAAGTGTTGAAATGAAGAAGTCGTAGAGAGTAGCGAAAGGCTTTCAAGCAGCCTTGGGTAGAACAAAAAATAATCTTAACTGAGTAAACGTTGTAGTACGCTTACATGAATTGAAGTATAAAACTCAGTCGAATGGAGTCCGTGAAATGTACTGCGATGCACGGTCCTTATGCCTCGACTGCTAATGACCACTTGTCTGTGCATATATATTGGTGAAAGGGTTGACACGTTCTTCCCC